TCGATACATTAGTAGTTTCTTTCGTAGATGGCCGTATTAAATTATTAATTTCAGTTTGAACCCAAACATTTAGAAATAATACGAAAAACCCACCTAAAAGTTTCATATAATCACGCAAAAGCCCACTTTTTTAACGAACGTGGCCAATTAACAACTTTCGGCACACAAATCTTTCTCCTTCAATGATTGGGTCTCTCTTCTCTCAGTAAATGCATATGCATAATCACATTATAAGATTCAGCGACATTTGTACTGTGATCAATTAGTCCGAAACTTTCTCTCTGTTCTTATCTTTACCGATTCCTCCGCCTTTCTGGGTTTTTGTTTTATTATCTTCCTTCTTCGCAATTCTGGGTCTTACACAAGAATCGAAGGTTTGTAATTGAGAAAGTTTTGTAAAAACCCATTCTTTGTATTTGATTACAGATCTTTCCGTTGATTTCAATTCGTAAAAGAACGACCTTTCGATCCAAATTCGTTGCTTTCAGGTACAATTCCGTTGGTGGTCAGCTAAAATCAACAATTTTTGAATCGAATTTCTCTCTTAAGGTATTGAAAGTTTTGTCCTTTTTTTCTTCATTTGGTTGAGAAAAGAGAATCTAGGGCTTTGATGTGACTCCATGTTAGAAAAAGTTTAAAGCTTTTTGGCGTTTATCATATGGAAATTGCAAGGTGTGGAATTTTTCTCAACAGGCAAAAACAATTTTGTGTGCCTACTAAAAGCAAGTTGGGAGGCTGCTTTTATAAAACCCATTTATCATTGACTCCACTAAGATCTATTTATATATATAAATTCACATAAAAAATTCATTTTTTATGTGTAGTAGGCCTTCATGCTAAGCTCGTGTGTTCTGATCCTTTTGCAGTATTATAATCTTAAATTCAGAGGTTTTGATCTGTATAAGATCTCAAGAAAGACATCAGCTTTTGTATTCAAAGAGAAACACAAAAGAAGAACGAAGATAGATACAGGTAAAAAAAGCATTGTGAGTTTACTGAGTTATGGCTTTTTTTTTGGTTAGAACTTAGAACACAATTATCTTGGTTAACTGAAATAATGCAAGAACTTTAAGTATACTTGTTTGCTGCGTTTTTTTGTGTTGTGAAAAGTGTGAATAAGCTGAGATTTTGATTGTTTCTTCAAAATTTTGATTTGATTTGATTTGATTTGGTATTTTTATTGTCCTCCTCACTGGTTTCTGCGTGAACGTATCATCTGGGCACATGGCTTGTTGAGATATCCAGCCATTTCGTAGCTGACTTTGCTTAGTTATGTATATTTAAAGAGGAAGTGTGATATGGAAATTTTCTTGTTTTGATTTGTATATTGTGCTTGAGCACTAATCAGAATTATCAGCATCACAACCCATTTGAGGTTTTATTCCTTTTAGATGCTGTTTTTGTTCCTTTTAGATGCTTTATGATCTCTTCGTGCTTGAGTCAAATTGTTCTTTGTCACTGACTCTTTCTTTCATTTCACTGAATCTGCTCTGTGGCAATCTCCCCTGAATTCTATCCATATAGCTCTCTTTATGAGTTATCTGATTATCAACCATAAAATGTGAAATTGTGTGTCTAATGATCAGACTGAGTTTTATGAAATTTCGTTAGCTCCATTGAGTAAGGCTTGTCAATGGATTGTTTGATTGACATCTCAATGTAAATTATCAAGTCTTGGAGATGCATGAATGTGTCAAAAATGTTCCTTTCTCTCCTTTCTATTTTGGGATTTAAAAACTGTGAATGAGATTGACTTTGATAATATATATTTGTATATTATATTCATCTTCGGTATGCCACAAACCCATTCTCTGTAGTTGACCAAAAAGCAAAATCTTTATATAAGTGATAGCAATGTGTTCTGATTTCCTCATTCTTCTCAGGCTCTAATCAAAAGCTCGCTCTCTGCCTTATGTAATAAAAGATGGTGGCTTTTGGGAAATATCTGCAGCGGAAACAAATTGAGGAATGGAGCGGGTATGCATTTGCTTATGCCATCTTTAAAACTTTTGGTCATCTGATTTGGGTTGCATAATGACGTTTTTGATAATTTCCATGTAGCTATTACATCAATTACAAATTGATGAAGAAGAAAGTGAAGCAATATGCTGAACAAATACAAGGCGGTTCTCAACATCCTCGCCATGTTCTCAAAGATTTCTCCAGGATGCTTGATACTCAGGTACGTTGTAGAGGATTGTGATGATGATATTGTTTGAGTACCATGCTCGTTAGATTTGTTAAGTATAGCTACATATGAGTAATCACAGTCCGGTGTTTGTCATTTGCTTCTGTTTATTAGATGGAATGGTTTGAGACATTGAAAGCGATTCATTGTGTTTTGCAGATTGAGAAAACTGTCCTCTTCATGTTGGAACAACAAGGGTTGCTTGCAGGGAGACTAGCCGTTTTGAGGGAAACGCATGATGCTATACTTGAGCAGCCTGACATATCAAGAATTGTGGAGCTACGAGAGTCATACAGAGAAGTTGGACGAGATCTTCTACAGCTTCTGGTTTTCGTTGAGCTGAATGCCATTGGTCTGCGCAAGATTCTCAAGAAGTTTGACAAACGGTTTGGCTATAGATTCGCTGACTATTACGTGAAAACTCGTGCTGATCATCCTTACTCACAGCTTCAGCAAGTCTTTAAGCATGTGGTAAGTAAACAAAATGTCCTTACCGCTCTTTCACTGGTTTCTTCTTTAAGCTCTTCTTAAATGTTCTGTGATTGGAATGTATAGGGTGTAGGAGCTGTTGTTGGGGCAATCTCTCGCAATCTTCATGAGCTTCAAGAAAACGAAGGAAGCTTTTATTCGATTTACGACCAACCTGTTCTTCCCCTTCAAGATCCAGTGGTTGAGGCACTTAAGAACGCGGTGGACAAGTTAACACACTCGACGAATTTCCTCAACTTCTTGGCGCAGCATGCTCTTATCATGCAAGATGATTTGCAGACTCCTTCAGAGGACACCATCGATGAACGGACTTACCATTTTAACTCGTTGCTCCTGAATTTAGGAAACACATTTTTGTACATGGTCAACACATACATCATTGTCCCTACTGCGGATGACTACTCGATGAGCCTTGGAGCTGCAGCGACGGTTTGTGGTGTTGTCATTGGATCTATGGCCGTGGCTCAAGTCTTCTCGTCGGTTTATTTCAGCGCCTGGTCCAACAAATCTTACTTCAAGCCTCTTGTGTTCAGCAGCATTGCTCTCTTCATCGGTAACTTAATGTATGCGATGGCTTATGATGCTAATTCCATTGCGCTGCTCTTACTTGGCCGTCTCTGTTGTGGGTAAGTTCAAAGTTAAACTCTTTAAAAGATGAAACCTTTTCTTCAACTGGTTTTGGTTATAACACTCTTGAATTTGCAGGTTGGGATCAGCAAGAGCTGTGAACAGGAGATATATCAGTGACTGTGTGCCATTGAGAATCCGAATGCAGGCATCGGCCGGTTTTGTGAGTGCTAGTGCTCTTGGAATGGCTTGTGGTCCTGCACTCGCCGGTTTACTCCAAGTCAAATTCAAGATCTACAAGCTGACATTTAACCAGTCTACTTTGCCTGGATGGGTTATGGCTGTGGCTTGGCTGTTCTATTTGGTATGGCTATGCATTTCATTCAAAGAGCCGTTGCGTGACACTGATGAACAAGAGGAACAAGAACGAGCCAATGCAAATGAAACAACATCAAGTAATCACCTGCTTCTATTGTAGATTCTTAATAGTGAAAGCTGTTTTTTTTTTTTTTTTTTTTCCTGATTGGATTCTTGGACTGATGCAGCGACAGAGAGAGAAGAAAATAGCAGAGTAGTCGAGGAAGGTCTTCGAAAGCCTCTGCTGATTGCTTCAGGAATCAAGGTGGAAGATGAAGAGGAATGCGATGAAAGTGAAGAATCTCCTGAAGATTCTCGCAGACCAGCAAACTCTTTCGGCGATGCATACCGGCTTCTTACTCCATCTGTTAAGGTAGTACCCATCATCAGTTTCTATAAAGTGTAAACATTTGGTAAAAAATTCATGCTTTTGATGGACTTGAATTGCGGTTTTCGATGTTTAGGTTCAACTGTTGATCTACTTCATGCTCAAATACGCCATGGAGATATTGCTCTCGGAGTCTAGTGTCATCACTTCATACTACTTTCATTGGACTACAAGCTCTGTTGCCATCTTCTTGGCGTGCCTTGGCCTCACGGTGCTACCAATCAACATCATTGTGGGAAGTTACATCAGTAACATGTTTGAAGACAGGTAATCTTCAAACCCTGCTCTCAAATCAAACCATAATTAAACTATCCTCTGATCTTAAGCTTGCTCAGTGATTGAATCTACATAAAGCTTGAAACTTTTTGCATCTAAACCGTTAAATTCGATGTTGTTTCATTCTTTCTGGTGGTTGAATACACATAAAGCTTGAAACTTTTCTCATCTAATCCGAAACTTGTTCTTGTGATCTACAAAGCTTGATCCTTTTGTAGACCTAGTGATTGAATCCTTAAAAGCTTGAAACTTTTCGTAACTTTAGATCGTTTCATACTTCTGGTGATGGTTATTCTCTGTTTTGGTGACTAATATGAGATCGTCTCTGTTTTGCAGGCAAATCCTATTGACATCAGAGATCATCGTCTTCTTCGGGATTCTCTTCAGTTTCAATCTGTTTGTTCCATACACTGTACCTCAATACGTAATCTCAGGTCTCGTTATGTTCGTCGCTGCTGAAGTACTCGAAGGTATATACAAAACTTAACGACACTCTGTTTTTCTTTAAAAACAAGCTTTTGTAACGGTTTTTAACGGCTTTTTCTCTTCTAGGTGTGAATCTATCGTTGTTATCGAGAGTAATGTCATCGAGGCTATCGAAAGGAACATACAACGGAGGATTGCTCTCGACGGAAGCTGGAACATTGGCTCGTGTCGTGGCTGATGCAACCATTACATTGGGAGGTTACTTGGGAAGGAACCATCTCTTGAATGCGACTCTTCTACCGTCACTTGTCATCTGCATTGGCTCCATTGTTGCTACTTGTTGTACTTATAACTCTCTCTATTGACGAATATAGGGATTTTGCCATTTTGGTACCAAATTTTTACTAATAGAATAAAATGAGATATTTACAAATGATCCTCTCTTGATTTTGATTATATTTGTTGTCACCAAGGTTCAAATTCCATGACGTATATACGTGTTTTATATGTACATGTATGCATACGAGGAATATCAAATCCTCCATTTGTTAGAAACCTTGTTCCGGTTTTTGTGAGCCTTTTGTTTGAATTTTTGTTCAAGAATTTGTGTTATGTTTCATTGTTTTTTACCATATTGTTTGCTTAAGTATTTAACAAAATTTCAATTTGAGTGTTCAAAAATAATAATGGTGCTGCCCAGGATCGAACTGGAGACCTTTTGCGTGTAAGGCAAACGTGATAACCACTACACCACAGCACCAAATGAAAATTTATACATTTGGATTATAAAGTATTATCTGTTCTGTCAATTAATTTACGATTAATATAATGAAATTGTGCAAAAGCAAAACGTTCAAATAGTTTCAGTTTACCCTTTCATGAGAAACTACATTATCATGATTTCAATTAGAACTTGATACTTGTCTTGTACTTGTTACTTGTAAGTACTAGTTACTTGGTACGGGACAAGCAAAGTATACAAAGAAAATATCAAGTAACTGTGTCAAGTTTTCTTCAGGCATATACAAGGCCCAAGTCCAACACCACCATTTCTGAAACTATGTAAAAGAACGAACAATGACAGCTTTGGAATATGACAGAGGATTGTACCATGTTCTGCTAATAATGGAGAACCCATTCATCTTTTTTTATCCATCGTTTACATTTGTAACAAAATACATTTAAGTAAACAAACAAATTCCATGATTCTCTACAAAAAAAAATTGAATTATTTGGAATATCTCTAAAAGCTTGGCTTCATGGTTTTTACTTTTTACCTTAGTTGGTACATTGTTTGGAATTTCATAAAAATAACGTTCTTTACAGAAGTAACATTCTAGAAAACATAATAGTTGACTTGGTGTTAGACCTAATAAATGTATTAGAGAAGATATCGAGAAGTTCCATTTGTTTTTGTTCGGATTTGTCCCGTAAATGATCGGACAATCTAAAAGTCTAAAGAAATAAAATGCAACTATATAAGGGAAAACAGAAATATTCCATTTCTCTTCTGTCTATGAATTTAGACTCTAATTCTCTAAAGCAAGAAGATAATTATTCGTCTTAAAATATTTTTCAAATCGAGAAATAATTATCTTTTGGACTGAAAAGCTATTCTTGTCATTTAAAGTAACCATGGCACTTTGTTGTAAAAAAAAAAAGTAACCATGGCATAACTAGAGAATATCCAACGGCATATGCTAGTGGTTTATATCGCATACACTTTCATATATTGATGGCACTTTTAGGTTTATTACTTAACTTTTAGGTTTTTAGGTTTATTAAAAACTTAAAATATTTTTAGAAGGCCTTAATTAAAATTATGGAATTTGATCTTAGTTATTTTCATCGTCCCAATGTGTTTAGTTTTTTTTTTACTTTTAAAACAAATTTTATCAAAAACTAGAACCTGTTCCAAAACCAAAACTATACTAAACAAAACCGAATAAGTAAAACTCGAAACCAAACCAATACCATATTAATTAAACACCATTTGAAATACTAAATTAGAAGTATTTTCAAATTTCTCATCTTCCATATTTTTAGAAAAATTATATTCTCATCTCATTTGTTCTGATAAAAAGCTGCAAAAAAATAGATTTTCCAGCAATATAAAACACTTAGTAGAAAAATCTGATATTCCTTGTCGAAAATTCCTTATCTGATAATTGTACGTGTATATGTGCTCACATACATAGTCACATATTAACACATATATATACACACACACGGCTTCTTGGATCTTATAGAGATGAAGAGAAACATGTAAGCTCACTAGTTCCAGGGCTTCTCTCTATTGGCAGGTCCCTTACACACACACACACACAAATCTATTCATATGTTTTCTCATAATTGAGTTAAAAATGACCTGCCAAAGGAGAGTTGCCCTGCAACTAGTTTAGCTTAGTTCAACACACATGAGAAAGGAGAAACCAAAGGTACAACTATTGTTTTGTCTCCTTTATCATAATTTTTGTAGTATTTCTTAATAGTTTATCCAATCGAATAGAAACAATTGTGTTCAACTATATATATCTAGATCTGAGTTGGTGTACAATGTTATGTTTGAAAAGAAAAACTATGAACGCTAGATTATCAATTAACTATTGGTCTCAGATCTTAACATGTAAGTAATCTTGGATGAGAATCGGAAATTTTATATGCATTTTACATATAGATTTGAGTGAAAATGTGATTTGAGACTAAGAAATGAATGCATATAGATTTTATTTTAATTAGCGATATGAGTGAAATTTTAAATAACAGCCACATGCATGATCACATCCAGACACTATGTGTACAGTTTCTAACAAAGCGTGTAATGGATGTTTTGGGTTTTATCATTCGTAATTAATATGGTGCAAGAACTTCAAGATTGGAGAATGTGATGTGTTGGGACATGTGGGTTTTGCTTTTAATTCTTAACTAAATTGTAGGTCACGTTTATTACCTTGTCTTGAGAGGTTATGGGATAGTGATAATTTTTGCTGTAATCATTTTTTTTTTTGCTGTAATCATTTTGGTTCTTGCCATTTGATTATACACATCAATTAACGTCTACATGAGATAATCTCATTTCTGTTTTTACCGGAAATTTAGTTGCTAGCTAGTTAAAGTTAAATGATTAACTGTGTAGCTTTGATGTTGGTTTCTTTGTTTAATCACATACTGCTGTAATTCCAGACACTTAAGTAAATAAGCCACATATATTTTTCTATTGATGCGTAAAACATTGATAATTGCTTGGAAAGACATGAAAAGGCTATAGAAAAGCTCAAGTTCAAGATTTTCCAGACTTTTTGGAATACCATTTGCACTTGACATGTCTCCACATCTAGGGAACTAGTAGTCGGCATTGTCACAAGAACTTGATGCGTTTCTCATAATATAGAGTGCTTGTGATCTTCATTCTCCAAATTTAGGGAAATGAGAGTTTACATATCTCATATTGGTTATTGTATAGTTTGGCAAAATTTACTTTGTTGTAGAGGTCTCTAATTATGTTTACATGTTTGTATATAAGACAAATTCTTAACCAGGAATCAAATAAGAAAACTCTTTTACCATTTCAAGTTCCTTGACAAAAAACTATGTGTACAGTTTCATACGGTTGAATTCGATATTACAGTCTACCATTTTTCTTGTCTTCTTGAGTTGACCGTTTGTGTTTAAAGTTTGTTTTTAATCACTTGAAGCTCATGATGGTGTAAGCAAAGGGAAATACACAATTGGACTTGGACAAGTTCGTATGGCATTGTGTACTCTCTGTTTAGCATAAAGAACATTGCACAAGTCGTGGTCACTGATCAGACACTAATCATCGAGGTTCAATCAATATAAATTACTCCAGACTTTATTGTTGATTGAAAAAAAAAGGAAAATGCAAATGGTACATTTTTATTTGTAACAAAAAGAGTTTATTTTAACAATACAACAACATCAAGAAGAAAGAACACAAAAAATACAAAAAAAAACACAACAATTTTGGCAGCCATTAACCCCAAAAAAGATACTTCTTTTCCAAAAACCCAAACTTTTTCTGTTTTGTTACATTTCATATATTGTAGGGTTTATGACCATTACCTTATAAAAATCCCCATTTTCACCATTTCAAGTCTTCTTGTTCGGCTCAAACACAAACTTAATCAGAGACTCTCTGATAGACAACATCTCAGGGAACTCAGTCTTCAACTTCGTCGCATCGAGCTCATTGTTACTCCTTGGAGCCACAATCACCTTAGCTTGTTCCTCCAACGTGAAGTTCTTCCAAGTAAAGCTCGGGTCAATGTACTCTTTGTACATCTTCAAGATATCGTTGTGGCTCACGACACCAGGGTTTGTGAAGTTGTAGATCCCGGTTAAGTTCCTCTTCGCCATTTCGATCGATATCGGAAGGAGCTCGTCTAGGATCGTCATCGAGTTCGGTATGTCCACGACCTTCTCGTACCGAGCGATCTTGGTGATGAAGTTTCTAGGGTTTGATAGATCAGAAGAGATCGGCATTCTCACTCTTAGCGTGCATACGTTCTCGTAGTTCTTGAGCAGCTCCTCCACCTGAACAAGATCACAAAACCAAGATTCCAACATTCAATAAACAAGCTTATGATGATGATAATTACTTGAATCTTAAGCTAAAGAGCTAAGCAATCACATGTATTGGAATCGGATTAGCTCAAAATCTTGGACTTTGGGATCAAGAAATAAAGAGAGGACTGAATCTGAAGTATTTCTTAAATTAAGGGATCGAAATGTAAATCGATGAATCTGAAACATTGAAGTAAACTACATTGCATCTGAAGCAATTTGTTGCTAATTGAACATCTAAAACCTAATCAATCACATGAATTGGAATTTGATTAGCTAAAATCTTGGATTATTGGATCAGGTAGGAATAAAAGATAAGGAAGAATTAAATCTGAAGTATTTCTCAAATAAAGGGATCGAAATGTAAATAGACGAACTACCACCTACATTGCAACTGAAACAATTGGAGGCTAATTGAACATTTGTAAACCTAATCAATCACACGAATTGGAACTTGATTAGCTAAAATCTTAGATTTTTGGATCAGGGAGCAATTAAAGATAAGAGAGGATTAAATCTGAAGTATTTCTCAAATGAAGGGATCGAAATGTAAATACACGAATCTATCACCTACATTGGAATTGAAAACAATTGGGGGCTAATTGAACATTTGAGAACCTAATCAATCACACGAATTGGAACTTAATTTAGCTAAAATCTTGGGTTTTTCTGATGAATAATCATGTAAACGGATCGAATCTGAAGACTTTCTTAAATGTAGGGATCAAAATGTAAAGAAAAAAACTCTCACCATTGCTTTGGTTTTGGAGTAGAAGGATCCGGTGAAATTAGGAGTGTCTTCCTCCTTGAATCCGATACCCGACCCGAGAGGATGACCCGAATCGTACTCGAATATGCAACCCGTCGCGTAATTGATCAGAACGAGTCCCTTCTCCCTGCAAATGTCGGCGAGAGTGAGAGTTCCGGCGACGTTCGTGCGGATGGTCTCGACCTTGTGGGATTCGCACCAGTCGACGTTAGGACGTCCGGTGACACCGGCGGCGTTGAAGACGTGGCTAGGCTTCACGGTTTCGATGTCGGCGACGATCGATTGACGATCCTGAAGACGGCCGGAGCCGTAAGTGTAGGAGATTCCCTGAGATTCGCAGAGCTTGCCGAGCAATCCGCCGATCCATCCGGTTCGGCCGTAGATTAGGAAGTTGAGTGAAGAAGATGATCCGTTCGCGTCCACACCCATTTTTTTTTCTTGTGTCGGTGATCAGAAATGTCGCCGGAGACGAAAGAGAGAGAGAGAGAGAGTGTGTGGATCTGAGTGGAGCGACGATGTATAGAGACGTTTTTGTGATCGGTGATGCTTCTTTTTATCCCATTTTGTCGGGGGAGAAACATATTTGATTTTGACACCCTATGTTTTCTAATTTTACATTTACGACCCCAAAGATTAAAAACCTTTCATCACTCGATTCAGATTTACAATAAACTTTGGACTAAACCGGACATTTTGGAATTTTAGTTGGTCTTTTATAGATGAAGAAAATTTCATTTATAGTACAATAATGCATGTATATATAACTTCTTCTGAATTTTTAAAAACATCGGATATTTTTGAAAATTTTATACTTAATTCCAATAACACAGTCTATGACTCTGTGTAAGTTGATCTGATTTCGTTAGAAAAGGAAAATTTAAATCTGTTTGGGTCTTCGATTTTTGGACTCCAATTTATTGGGGTGTTGTTGTTTCGTTTTGGTAAAGATGAGGGCCATAGATGTAATACTTCAAATCTTGAGGTAGTGGGTTAAAACATACCCGAAATTATTATTTGTAGTGGTTATTTTTAATTTTAAAAGTAATTAATTTTTGTCCAGAGCTTAGACAGACAGAGATCTGCGAAGACGGTGGGGTATGATGATAAATTATTAATTAACCATTAACACAAATGAGATTCCAGTTCATTAGTGGTCTGTATTTCAAATATTTTAATCTTAATAAGAATCTCCTTTTACAATCTAAATATGTAACAGAAAATTGTCAAAATCTTAGCTTTTAAACGTAAATCTAAATATTAAACATCCAAATCGCTTGATTTTATTTGTTATGATTCATATATAGTATTATGTGAATCAATACATATGTTTTTTTTTTAAATGTTTTTCAATTTAGAAAAATACCAAATGTAGTGGTTAAAATTACATAGTTCAACTGTATACAGTACTATTTTTTTGTAACTGAAAGTTTCTATACATTTATTGTAATCAGTTGGACATCGTAAATAATTATAAGAGGTTTAACCAAATAATATGGAACATTTTGATATATCAAGCATATTAAACTCCAAACTCCATTTAAATGAAAATGTCTAAATATAACCTCTCGCTAAATTTATTAGTAAGTGTGCCGACAAAAAAAAACTTTTACCCGTTTAATGTGATACTCCATTAGTATGCAATATAGGATACAACATGGGCTAGCTCATGAGGTTACGTACTTACGTATACTTTATATTTATAAACAGATCGGATCTCCTGTCTGAATCGTATAGTGGACAAGTGATGGGACTCAATTAATGTCTTTGCTATGATTCAAATCTCGATCTCGAAAGGTACTTTTTAGTTTATAGCATGTATATTCCTCAGCTAAATTTGTTTTTGGTTGTTAAAGGAATTTAGAGCTATTTTAGTCACACAAATCAAATAGAGAACTCAAATTGTTTGGTTTCATGTTGTTTTGTTACATTTACGATAATGATTTGTGCTAACATTTTTACTACTGACCTTAGAAAAATTCACATATAGCAAGGACACGAGGTAAACAAAATTCAGAGTTAAATTTATAATTTTTTTGAGTATGTGTAACTGAGATTAAACTAAATTTTATCATGGATGATTTCGTTTTTAATTATATGTTGGTCCAAATTTTATCCTATAGGATATGACAAAACTATTTAAAGTAATCAAAGCATCACTATATTTTTCCAAATGATACTCTCTGGTACCCCAAGACAAATGTTTTTGAATACACAGCAAAAAAGTAAACAAAATGAATTACAATTTAGTAATTAACAAGAAGTAATAACATTCAAAGCACAAATCATATAGTGGTTGAGGCCTTGAGGGGTTTGAAAAGCTAGGTAAGTACATGATATTAAAGTTCACACCTCTGGTTATTAGCAATAACATGAACTACATACATCCATGCATGATAAAGCAATGTAACTAGAATTGAAATGTACGTAGTGGCAACTATATACTACTAATTAGTAAAGAAGAGATTAGTGTTTGCGCTTGGACTTCAAGGAAGTGAGGGAGTGAGAGTTGTTGTGCCAATTCCTCTTGCGTTGATTAATGAACCAGTTGTTGATTTGCTTCAACTGCAATCCTGTCTCTTCCACCAGTTTTGCCTTGTCATCTTCCTGTTTTCAAATAACATCTTTTTGTTTATCTCTAATTACCGATAATAAACCAAACTCGGACCGAAACTGATTTTTACTGGTTACCGAAATTATTTAAGCTATCTATTTTGACTGTATACATACTTAAATGAAATTAATTCATTATTGATTATAACATTATGACATAAAAAAACAAAAAGAGTACTTACAGTAGGGTAAGGCCACTTGCAATGTTGTTGCCACCAATTTTTCAAGACAGTAGTTGTGTCTCCAGGCAATTTCCCAGCTCTTCTTTTCCTCATTATCTCTTCTCTTACATCTTCAATTCTCGATTTAAAACCCTTATAAAATGAAAAAAAAAATCATTACAAGAACAAGAAAAATTTGATAACGTAAACATGTTATTGTTATTGTGACTCATATACCACTCAGTTTAGTTACCTGTTTGAGTTCGAGTTTAAGTTCTTGTCGGACCCTTTCCATAAGAGATCGTTCAGATTCTGTCGGAAGCAACGGACCAAATCCCGTCATATCGTGGCCGCCGCTAAAGTCAACGCCGGAATTATCCGACGAGAAATCCATCTGTAGATCGTCCTCGTCCTCCGACATCGTCGCACCAGATCCTTCACCTAACGTTGCTCCTACAAGAATAGTGAAAGTTTTTTTTTTTTTGGTGAACAGAATAGTGAAAGTTTAACCGAAATGTTATATACTCTTAATTACAATATTTAAGATGGATTAAGGCATTAAGCCCCGACCCCAGCCCAGAGGCACTTTACCTTAAAACAAACAAGCCACATCAATGTATGTATGTGTACACAAGTGTGTGTATAACCAATTAAAGTTTGGATGTTGAAATATAATTGTCACGACGAAAAAACACATAATAGTTGACTAATTACGTTACGTAAAAATGTGGTAAACTATTCTAAAATTGCGTTTCAACACAATAACTAACTATTCAGTCTTCATTTTCTTTATTTTTATACTCTTGAAACATGCATTAACATCATTAGAATTATCCATATCTTATATATAAATTGTGAAAGCGATATATATTCTTCATCATCATATCTTCTAACACATACATTTAACTATAAATAAATCTTATGTTTGCCGGTCGTTCATACATGTTATCATCAGCTAATAAGAACCTTTATATACCTAACTCAATCATTTCTTTTAAATAATTAAGAACCTATGAGAATTAATAAATTAAGAACCTGTGAGAGAGTGGAGGTTGTTCTCAATTTCACGGCAAGCCATAACAGCTTCGACGGCATGAACCCTCACGTGCTGTTGTAGCTGTTCTTTGAAGCTACACAACACCATCACATATTGTGCCTGTTTCCAATTCCTTTGATTATTAGTATTTGTTCCAAAACAT